TTCCAAAATCATTTCTAAGGAAACTTAGAGCACTCAAAAAAATACATGAAATTACGGAAAAAAAACTGTTCGAACAGTTTTGTTTTCATGAATTGGTACATTTTAAAATGCTCTAAGTTTCCTTAGAAATGATTTTGGAACTTTTTTAACAAATGCATTTTGTAGAGCAAACATTTGTCTACAAAATGAACGTTCCGCAGCTATGAGCGAATCTTGGTAACTGATGTATAGCAATTCTCCCGGATGCCCGAACACAAGTTTTTAACTGGTGCATACCTATGTATGCAGTATATCGGGTGTCCAGAATTAAATGAGTCGAAATACAAAAACTCAAGTCCGAGTCCGAGTTCAAAAAAATCTCCAGTCCGAGTCCGAGTCCACCAAACAATCTTCCAATCCGAACTCGGACTCGCCCATGTCCACCAGTCGGTGTCCAAGATTATTTAGGTAAAGTAAAAAACACTTTTTTTCTGCGCTTTTACTAATTAATTCTCAGCCATCACCAAGAGAAAAATAGTTTTTGCGCCGCAATTTTTTCGAGATGAATTTCCACTAACAAGGAAAGTTCCCGAGATTTCCAACTCCGTTTTCAGTGATTTATATGCTGATCGATAGAGCATTGTGAGCCAGTAAAAATCCTAAAAGGATTTTCTCCCATAGTGTTTCTTTCAAAAGTTATCGAATTTTTTCAGTTTTTCTACCCTAAAAAAAAACGCGTTTTTTTATTTTTGCGTTTTGATGAGACAAGCTATATAGAAAATTTGGCAATGGGTGGGTTAGCATAAGTGATTAGAGGCCGAATTTTTTTGCTGTAACCATGGTTAATGTCAACTATCTTCACAAAAAGTTTCAGCATTCTACTCCTATTATTTGCTAGTTTATAAAATTTTTCAGTTCTATGCAAAATGCAGGGCTTTTTTCAACTAAGATCAAATTTAGTGCTGAACAAAAAAACATGATTCTATATCCAACAAAAGATGACATATAGCGATCAATTAAGTTTATATTATAGAATGATATTTTTATTCTTCTCGATGACACGAACTATTTTTAATGTGTCCGACACGAAATTCTTTCCGACGAATTACTCTTATATCGGCGGGTTAGTTGACCGTTATCCTAATAACGCAATAAAACGAAAACACAACAATGTTAAGACACAATTTAGGAACAGAATGTTGAAACTTTTTGTGAAAATAGTAGAGATTAACCATGGTTACAGCAAAAAAATTCAGCCTCTAATCACTGTTGCTAACTCAGTTATAGAACTGCTACTATTTTCAGCCACTATAGGGTAGAAAAACTGAAAAGATTCGATACCTTTTAAAAGAAGCATCATGGGGAAAAATCCTTTTAGAGGTTTTTACTAGCTCACAATGCTGTATCGACCAGCATATAAAACATTGAAAATGGAGTTGGGAATCTCAAGAGCTTCCGTCGTTTGATGGGGTTTGGCTTCCTTGGCTAGACTACTGTAAGACAGAAATTTTCCGGATGCGTGTCAGTGCACCCTTATACATTGTTCACCTCTGATTCAATCCAGCGCAGAACAAAGCAAAGCACTTTTTTTCTCTCCACACTATACAGCGTATACTTTGTTTTTTCAGCAAAGTATAAAACAAAGTGTATTTTCAACATCACAGTTACATTATGTACTTTGTTATCTATCATTGCATACACTGACTACTAGTCCATAAGTTTGTTGCCAGAGATCTCCTTTTGATAAAGAGTACTTCGATGAAATATCATTCAGCAATTTGTCGCTGTTCTCTGTAGGTAATACAATCCAAATCGATGCTTGATAGTAATTTTGGAACAACTGAAGAATTTCCAGATTTAATTGGTTATTCAAAAAATGGTTTAAAAGCAGAAGAAAGTTTAGAAAACATTATTGGTCGTTCAGTCATTGCACATACGACGAGAAAACGGTTGAATGAATTATATAATGGTGATTTGTGTGGTTTAGATCCGAAAAATCCAAAAGAAATAAAAAAAAACGGTTGCTAGTGGTCGAATTTCATTGGATCGTCGTACACGTGATACAAGACATGAATGTAAATACTAGAATTACCCAAGTGTGAGAAATCTACGGACAGCAAGTATTGTCTTGATATTTTAGGATGGAGGATGGTCAACGTTAGTCCGAACGTTTCATTCTGTTTTTAATAAATTACTAAGAGAAAATATCAAGAAATGGAATGATCTGGACAAATATATCAGAATATCTCAAAGATAAAATAGTTTGATAATTCAATTAAACACTAATGTAGGTTATAGATTGTGAACAAGAAACTTTTACTTAGTAGCTTAATTTCTTTCTGATCCTCTTGTTTTTTAATGGAATACATTGAGATATAATCCTGCTTATAGACGTACACTATATACCGGGACCTTTAAACGGGTCTTTTTATAGAAAGAAACGAAATTATCGAAGAGACAACGTGATTTAATGAAACATCCAACAGAACCATACAAAAGTCTAACGGTAATTCTCTTTGAATAAGTATTTCAAAAGAGAAATGAAATCTCTTCGTTTACCATGCAGATGGATTATTGATCATAAGAGATTTGGTTGTTTAAGTTACAAGCGTAACATGCTAACATCAAAATTTGGAGCGGCGAGCAATACAAATCATATTTGAAAGTTTGAATGTGCGGTGGGTAATTATAATGGTAAAATTTTTCTCTTTAATTTAATTTAACTCTTTAAATTCAATTTTAGGGTGCCATGCACGTGGAACATATTTATCGCGGGTCTCGAAGACAAAGTATGCATCGAGAAGTCGAAAATTTATATCAAAGCCATAAATAAATCATGAGAGAGCGGCTGAAATTTGGATGGATAATTATAAAAAATATTATTATCGACGTCAGTCGAATCGTGCACATTTAAACATGGAGGTGTGATAGAGTATAAAGAATTACGAAAAAAATTAAATTGTTCGACGTGTCAATGGTTTATAGACAATGTTGCGTATGCTCTTGTTTTCTGGTGTTGTGCTCGTTCTTTTGCATTTTTGTTTCTATTGTCTAGTCTTAGTTGTAACTCAGTGACTTTTCATCAACGATCAATGTACTCAAAATGCAAAATGCTCTTTGAATAAAACATCCACTTTCTAAACATAAAACATGTTTTTGTCGTGGAAAAACACGCAGAATCCCAGGGAAGAAGATGAAGTTCGAGTTCTTTTCCCCTGGGAAATACCATGTTTTTCCACGAGAACTTCATCTTTTCTCGTGAGGAACTGGATGTCTCTTCACGAGAAATTCATTTAGATTGCAGTTCAATGCAGTTCTATTTAGAAACTGCATGTTTTTTCACGAGAAACTTGAGAAAAGATGAATTTCTCCTTAAGTAACATCCAGTTTCTCCATATAAAAGATGAATTTCTCGTGGAAAAACAACCAGTTTTTGCGGTGAAAAGATGAACGTCTCGTGGAGAAATATCTAGTTTCTCTGGAGAAAAGATGAATTTCTCCTGAAGAAAGCTGGTTGTCACTTCATATGAACACTTTCTTTTCTACCCAGAAACTGTATGTTTCCTCACGAGAAGGTCTCTTCGGAAAAAATGGGTGTTTATTCAGCAGAACTTTTCCGTCGGATTCTACATGACTTTCCATGAGAAATTCATCTTTCCTCCGCGGAAACTGGATGTTTCTTTATATGAAATTTATCCTTTTTCCGCAGAATCTATATTCATGAGAACTTCATATTTTCTTCTCAGAAAGTGGATGTCTCTTTACAAGCACTTCATCTTTCTCCTGGGAAACTAGATGTGCCCTCACATGAAATTCCTCTTTTCTGTGGAGAAACTGCTTGTTTTTCCACGAGAAATTCCTCTTTTGTCCTCAGAAAGTGGATGTTTCTTTACTCGAACTTAATCTTCTCCACTGGGAATCTACGCGTTGTTCCACGAGAAATTCATGCTTTTTATGGAGAAACTGGATGTTTCTTCACGAGAAATTCTTTTCTCAAGTTTCTGGTGGAAAAACATGGCGTTTTTAAATAGAACTGCAATCTAAATGAATTTCTCGTGAAATTCAAGTTCCCCAGGATGATGAAAGAATGAATTTCCTATCAGGATAGATCCAGTTTCCCAGTAGAAACGATGAAGTTGTCGTGAAGAGACATCCAGTTTCCCGGGAGAAAATATGAGATTCTCATGAAGAGACTTGCAATTTCTCCATAGTAAAGATGAATTTCGCGTGAATAAACATCCACTTTCTAAACATAAACGATGAATTTGACGTGGAAAAACACGTAGATTCCCAGGGGAGAAGATGAAATTCGAGTTTGCTTCTCCTGTGAAACACCATGTTTTTCCACGAGAAATTCATCTTTTCTCCTGGGAAACTGGATCGATCCTCATGTGAAATTCAAATTTTTCTCGTGGAACAACGCGTAGATTCCCAGGGGAGAAGATGAAGTTCGAGTGGAGAAACATCCAGTTTCTGAGCAGAATTTCTCGTGAGGAAACATCTAGTTTCCCAAGTGCTTGTGAAGATACATCCAACTTCTTTGGAGAAGGCATGAATTTCCCGTAAGGAAACATCCAGTTTCCGCGGAGGAAAAATGAATTTCTCATGGAAAGTCGTGTAGAATCCGACGAAAAAGTTCTGCTGAATAAATCTCCCGTTTTTTCAAAGAGAAGATGTATTTCTGGTGAGGAAACATACAGTTTTCATGCAGAAAAGATGAATTGCTCTTCGAAAAGCATCCAGTTTCTGCGTAGCAAAGATGAAGTTGTCATGAAGAGACATCCAGCTTTTCCGGAGAAAAGATGGAGAAAGGAAACTGGATCTTTCGACAGGAGAAATTCATCTTTTCTCCCGGGAAACTGGATGTTTATTCACGGGAACTTCATCTTTCCTTCTGGTAAACTGAATCTGTCTCGATGAGAAATTCATCCTTCCTCGGGAGAAGCTGGATGTCACTTCACGATAACTTGATCTTTTCTGCGCAGAAACGGTAACTTTTTCCACGAGAACTTCATCTTTTCTTTGAAGAAGACGGATGTCTCTTCGCGAGAGCTGCGTCTTTTCGGCGGGCAAACTGGATGTTTTTCCACGACAAAGTTCTGGTGGAGAAACATAAATTTCTTCAGTAGAAACCATGACGTTCTTGTGGTAAAAGATCCGTTTCGTGAGGAAAACACCTGTGGTTTTGTGGAGAAATATCGTTTTTTTTGTAAAAATCACTAATCCTGTTGTAGGAATGGTCTCTGCAGGAAAAAACATGCAGTTCTTCTGGAGAAAGTCGGTTTCATTAGAATCAAACATGAAGTTCTAGTGGAGAAACATCGGTTACTTGGAAAAGACATGCAGTTCTTGAGGATAAATAGCGGTTTCTTGGGAAAACCATTAACCTCCAGTGTAGGAATATCGATTTCTTGTGGATAAGCATCGGTTTCTTGCGGATAAAACATGTTAACTAGCATGTTTCAAACGTATAAAGTCAACGAAAATTAATCCATCATTCATTATGAACAACAACAAATTAATAGCACTGTCGGAATATTTAGATGATCAACAATCGAAAGATGGATCAGAATCGTATTGTGATACCGATTTAGATGGATTATATGTTGATCCACTTGATAGTCGATATACTTCTAGTGAAGCAGGTGAAGAAGATGAAGAAGAAGGATTCTCAAAAACAAATTCCCAATCCATAACAGCAGTGATAACGCCAGCAATCATGCAATCAGCAATCAGCAGTAATGTAGCAATCATGGAAGAACAAAGAATAGAAAAGAAAAAACTCAAAAATAAAATAAAAACCTTGTTAAAAAAGCCTTGATTTAGAACTTGAATTCGCAAGAATAAAATTAGAAAGATGAGTTATAATCTTACTGAGTATAAAGAGTGGCAACTTAGCCGATGTGTCAAAGAGAAAATGTCAGCTATTGAAGAAACAGCTGTTTCATCATCTATCGTTGTTATTTGTGCAGCTCCTTCTGTTTCTCCTTTTTGTTCATAAGATAAAAAATATGAATAAATGTTGTCGAGTAGTTTTGGTTCTTCTTCATCCTGGTGAAAATATGGCCCGTGGTAGGGCGTTTCCATATTGTAGTCCAAAAAGAAAACCTTGAATATAACATTATAAAATAGAATAAGGAAGATCTTGTCCTCAATATTATTCACACAAACTCGAAGAGAGAGCCAAAGCGTAAGAGAAACAATTTGTATTTTCTTGCTTTAAATACGGAATTAAGTCCAGTAAAATATTAAAAAAAACGTTGAAGGCCAAACCCCATTTGTCGTCAAGATGCCTATAAATGCAACTCATCTTTCGCACAGACATTTTCGAGACATTGTGTATCATTCCACTCCCCGTCTGTTAACATCAGTACGATATACAAACATTCGTTCAATATATGATCTGTTAGAAACGGCATGATGAATGATTCGCTTTCCTGTACAGCAATCTTTTCATGTTAGAACATTACCTGCTAAAAGATCTATGGAATCATTATTTACTACACAAATATAAATTACATTGTCATCGTTTTCTTCTTGCAACTACCTTTCCGACTTAAAGTCAATAATGACAAGATTATTACCATTTAGCTCCGCTATCTATAGGTAACTTTTTCTCGATTTTATAAAGCTGTTGTTCTCTTCATCATCTACACAAAATCTAATTAGTAACCATCTTTACATGACAGTTACAGTTTTACAGTTAACTGTAATTGGTACATGCGTACCCACCGGTACTACGGACGAAGTAGTTGTCAAAACCTTGAGACGGTGTCTGGGAACTTGCAACCCTCTGATACTGTATAGCATGTTCGCAAGCCACAAACAAAGTAATAATTTGCACCGGGTGAATGTTAAACGTGGTCCCGGAATCCGTCTTTGTACCTGAATGGGGTTTTCACTTTTACTGAATGCTTAACACTCTTCACACATATCATTAAAATTCTGGCTAACTGCATGAGATTATACGAGTATTTATACCTAGGAAGAGATTCACAAAAAAATATAGAATAGACTGGGAAAAAACCGAATCTTTTAGAGCACACGGCATATGACTTCTGTTTACACGTTATAGAGAGACAAGTCTGGAAAGAAAAATACTTTTATCTGACAATGAACAAAAGAATTTGAAAGGGATTTTTCCCTTTTACACATAAAAGAGATATAAATTTGAATGCCTGGATGAAGAAGGAAAAGAATCACTACTATTCATAGCAAAATGTCAACACTTTCTTTGACCTCGCACAAAAGAATCTGAAAGGGAACTTTCCCATTTTATACATAAGAGAGACGCCAATTCTAATGACTGGATAGAAAAGGAAAAGAAGCAATATTAGTAGTGACAAAATGTCACTACCTAACACCTCCGTCCTCCAACTAGATGAGGGTTTCATCTTCTCATCAACAGGGTTATACGCCACCTCTATAAAAGCTTTTTATCTTTCAAGTTCATTTGAATTGATATTTGTTGTTGACCACATTGTCAGGTTATACTACTATCATAAATAAACAATAGCAATGTACAGTGCAGTTGTTGTTAGCTCTATTAGCAACGATGCTGCCACCATCATCTTTATTGTTAATAAACTAATGTATTCCAAATTATCATGCATCGGTTCATTATGAATGACATGATTTATATAACATCAATATGACTGGACTATAGAATCTATTCAGTAGGTTACTCCCACCCCTCATACTTTTTGAATTGATACTACCGTTTACTAATATACAAGGTTACAATATCACTCCGATAATAATAGACACTACACAATAATACGACAACGCAATAATGTGACAATATCTATAGATAATACCATTATAGATGTAATATGTTCGTCGAATAGTGTTATACAATTTCAGAAACTTGAAAACATGTACAATGAGAACATGTGCTAATCAACTTTGCTAAAACTCGTCATCACAATAACTACATTAATCATTCGAAACTTAAAAGCACTATCCTGCTTTTTACCATTGTCATAAATTCTAGAGGCTGAGTAAGAAACTTTCACAGTTATTTGGTCTAAGTCAAAACAAGAAAGTGCTAAGAGAGCTACAGCGCAGAACGGAATGGGCTATACAAAATTAATGTTTGTTTCTCCAGTTCCTGTGACTGCCTCACTGTTAAGACTAACGAACATTAACTCTTTACACCCGCCGGTCCCTTTCAAGGGACATTGATATAATGGATTTATAAAAATAACAGATTATCAGCCCAAAAGCTAAATTATTACTAATGTAAGACAATAGAGTAGCCTAACGTTTAATTGAGATAAGAAAAAAAATTCCATCTTAATCCAATATATCGGAATTTAAAAATTGAATGAAGTTCGAAAATGAATTTTTCTTTTTAAATATTTTCTATACTCGTAGCTACTAAACCATTTTCTAATTTTGTAGTTGAGAGTTTTGGTTGTATGGATCTACTTCATAATGAAACTGAAGAAGAAATTTTTGTAACGTTCTTCTTTGCGTAAGAGCGCTGTGAATTCACTGTCCCTTGGAACGAACATCGGGTGTAAAAATATGAAAACTGAATTTTTTTATCTTGATATCTTGTTAACGTAGGTCATTCTGAGATCACTCGCTACATATCCGAAGATCAGTGAATGAAGAAAAAAGATATAACCAGTACTATTATGCCGTCGCCGACAAATGTGAATGCATTTTTCTCTGATCGATATAAAAAAATCTATCTAAGCGCGTTTAAAATACTGGATAACGTTGAGACGCGTCTAAACTACCTACAGTTTTTTAAAAAGCAAGATGTGTTCAAACATACTTTTCTCTCTCATTGAGATAAAAAAGCTCGTTTAGAAGCGCTCTTAGGTCCATCTTGATTTGAAAAACGCGTTCAGGCACGACGTTTTTGGAAAAATTAAAGAAAAATACGTCTGAACGTTTGTTTCTATCGAATATTTTTCCAGTAAAGAATTGAAAAGAAACTCATACTAACAAAATCATAAGTTAGTATACTAGAGCAAAAAAGGAAGTTCGGAATAACTATCAAAAAAATACAAAATTCATGCCGTTACACTCGTATGCCCCTTCCCAGGGACATCATACATTCACGCAGCAGAGAAACATTTCTTAAGTCCATATATAACAAGGATGTACCAAAGAACTGTAAGCTTCAGTGCAGTAGTTATTTCAGCTGCAGCTAAAATAAAAGGGTCTTCGGGTGTAAAGGGTTAAGCGCTGGGCGCATGAAACTCTAGAAACATGGCTAATAGTTTGTTTATCCAGAACATGAGAAAAAAATGCGTTTGGTCTTATCTCGAATCCAAAGAGCGATCAAACTAATATTAGATGGAAATTGGCGGAATAGTCTACAGGGCTGGTTCCAGGCACCAGTCTTAAGGGTACCCTTCCCCCTTTTTGCGCTTTCTGTGGAAAAACTCTGAAATAAAAACTAAAAGTCGCTAGATCTTCGTATTATAAGAACTGATTAGAAACTCAATGGAACAGGTTTTCCTTTTTGTTTCAAGCTTTTCACTATTGCCGGCACTAGTCTGATTCAGCTTTCATACAGTAACTGGTAATCAGTTTGTCGATGAACCGAGGTCACCAACGTATTTGTGAGATAACCCTTTCCTCTCTTTTTTCTCGTCGTCTTGGTGATAGGCATGGTGCAACTGGGCATCACCGGTTTCGGTTTTTAACCGATTAACCGAAACCAAACATAACCAATGTTGCACAAGGTCTTGAAAACACGTTCTAACAATATGAAGAAAGCATCTGTTGTACAATCAAAAACTGTTCACCCTGGAAGAAAGATGCACGGTGTACAAAATCAGAAATAAGTCAAACAGGTGGTGTTTCTGACTTTTCAGTGTGAAGGTAGAGTTTCTCAAAATTGAGTTTAGCAGCTAAAGTAAATTTAATTTCCTAGATTTTATTTGCTGGACGCACCTTTAGACAAATCGATCTTCGCGATGAAAAGCAGTAAATATCAGTTTTCATCGCGAAGATCGATTTGTATAAAGGTGCGTCCAGCAAATAAAATCTAGGAAATTAAATCTGTCATACTTTTGTTACTAAACTCAATTTTGAGAAAGTCTGCCTTCACGGTGAAAAGTCAGAAGCACCACTTATTGGAAAGACATGCTGGAAATGTTTAAAATGTAATATGCATTTATGCCTTAATTCATGTAAAAATTGTTTCACTCAATATAATACTAGCAAATAACTGAATTTAGTATAGACATGAATATTTCTTATTTAAGATACAGAGTGACCCAAAATTACGCGATATTTTTTTTTGAAATTTCCAACAAATTTATTTTCGAAAAACAACATAATATTTATTCAAAATGTCCGCCCTCTACTTCGATCACTGCATGTAATCGCCTCATCCAATCGTCGATGGCTTTGTTAATAATCTCCTGGTCCAAGTTGTTGAAGGCATCTTCTATCGCTTGCTTCAACGAATCAACAGAATCATGCGCTTCTACATTTACCTCAGCCATAAGAATGCTCCAAATTTGACTGCTCCAGAAAAGAACGATACATAAAGGACGCACGCTGTCTTTTTTCTTTTTTTCTTTTCCTTCTATGTATATTCTGTGCG